AATTATTGAATTTTCTGTAGTGATGGATATGTTCTCCATTTGTACACTGGGCACATGTGGGTATTTAAATTTAAATTAAAATTAACAAAAATTAACAATTTAGTTCTTCAATTGCACATTTTAATGCTCAATAGCCACATGTAGTGAGTGGCTACGGTACTGGATAGCACAGATAGAGAACATTTCCAACACTGCAGAAAATTCAATAATTTTCATCACTGCCCAGCTCCGAAAAGGACATTTCTGAACTTTATAGACCTAACTACATTTCTTTCCCAAATATAAAGGAAAAAATAATTTCTAAATTTACCGACTTAAAAAATTTGCATAGCATAGATGACTCATTTCTTCTGTTTTAAAAATATTCTTCTAAAGGTTTTTTTACTCTTATTATTTCTTCTCACATGTGTGAATTTATGATTGCCTCTAGTTAGAATTGTACTATAGAAACTCATCCCTAATGGTGCAGATCTCAAGCTCTAGATTTCAAAACCTGAGGCACTATAAACATTTGGACATTACTGTATTTTACGCTGAAAAAAGATCTTGATTCAGCTACTCTGAGTTAGTGATATCATATTATGTTAAAACCAAATGCCATTTTTTTTTTTTTTAAAGATTTTATTTATTTGACAGAGAGACATACAGCGAGAGAGGGAACACAAGCCGGGGGAGTGGGAGAGGGAGAAGCAGGCTCCCCGCCGAGCAAGGAGCCAGATGCGGGGTGCAATCCCAGGACCCGGGGACCATGACCTGAGCCAAAGGCAGACACTTAACGATTGAGCCACCCAGGTGCCCCAAAACCAAATGCCATTTCTATACCCCACTTAGGCTCTGTATTTCTACATTTTTTTAAATTGTGAGAAGAAACTGTTAAAGGGTCTATATTCTCAATAAAAATAATTGGGTTCCACATGTCTTTAAACATTTTTTATTTTTTTTTAAAGATTTTATTTATTTATTTGACAAAGAGAGACACAGCGAAAGAGGGAACACAAGCAGGGGGAGTGGGAGAGGGAGAAGCAGGCTTCCCGCCTGGCAGGGAGCCTGATGTGGGGCTCGATCCCAGGACCCTGAGATCATGACCTGAGCCGGAGGCAGATGCTTAACGACTGAGCCACCCAGGCACCCCTGTCTTTAAACATTCTTGTCATGGTTTAATCCATTATACTTTCTTCCTTTTAATCAGATACCATTTAAAAGATATAGGGGAGAGAAGACATCAGAGATGCACTAGAAGGAAGTGACCAGCGCACATCTGAAACAGACCCTTTGTTTTCTCAGAATGGTCATTCTCTTTATCCCCCCTTTGTATTTCTGTGCCCTCTCCCAGTAATTCTTGACTTCTTACCTACTGCCAAACAGAAGACAACTGGCATACACATCTGTGATGCCCGCTACAAGACTCAGGTGCAATTTCCAAGGTGGGCTGTGACTGCCAAACCTTCCCACTCAAGAAGGAACATCTCAGAATGCAAATAAGTCAAACTGCCACTGAATCAATCTAGCACTGTATCATCTACAAACTTTGGTATCTTTAATAGCATACCTCACAAATGAACTCACACATTCTTGTCAGTTCTACTGTTGTGCTGTGTATACCCTGTCTACAGAGAAGGCATTTCAGAAACTAAAGGAGAGTGACTAATTTTAGGCTTCTTCCATTCTCCTAGTTTACTGACTGGTATGGCCCTGATAGTGAGCATATAATAAGTAAACTAAATGTTCTTTTGATGCCTCTTCTTTTTCATTGCTCTTGACTGCTCGAAAGTTCTCCATAGACACTGGACTGCAGAAGCAGAGGCTGGGCAGGGAACTGCAGGTGTGATCATGGGTTCACACAGGTAGACCACACCATCCACCAGGGATTTGCTTCAGGTTGATTAAAGGTGAGCACTGACCAACCCTAAGGTATCTGGATTTTAACAGAGCTCTTGAATAACCAACCCTATAGCCCCAAGTATTATCAATATCCTCAAGGCTTCAAGGAAGGCCAAGTACCATAGGGAAAAGCAAAAGGGGGCTGTGTACACTCTTTGAGGACTCCCAACACTTCAACAGCCATTACCACCTCAAAAAAGTGGGTCTTCCACTGTATATTTTCTTATGGGTCCAGAATAGAATGAATGTGGGAAGAGGGAGAATTAATACAGTATTGAGAACTTCAAAAACATTATATAAATTCTAAGTCTGTAACCACTTTAAAGTGACCAATGTGACCACTTTAAAGAAGTATAATTATAAAATAATCACATTTAAAGGCAGACCTATTCCCTCCAATTTTTATATCTTCAGCACAAAAAGCCCATTAACAAAGAAATTATGTTTAAAATAAAATGTTAAGTGGAAACCCCCCGCTGCCGACCTCAGAATTCTAAATCATATCCACAATATGGTTGCAAGTATGTAGTATGGTTTAAGCAGACAGGGAGAATATGCAAAAATGAAAACAGTATGATGTTGAGGCAGATGGGATGGGTGATTTTATTCTTTTTCTCAACAATTTTTTCAATATTACAAAATTAGAATTACAGATAGATGGTATAGTGAAGTTTTTGTTTTTTTAGATTTGAATACTGTTTATTATAAACTGGATGAGATCCTGATTTCCTTTCATTTCTTCCAATGCCTGGCTACAACTCTCCAAGTGAACATTTTCTATTTTTACAGTGAAGTTTTAATTGTAATGTGTGCACTGTAAGAATTTCTGATCTGTTTCCTGCTCATTTCTCCTGCATCCAATCCCCTACTCCCATAATCAAAAGAAACACTGTTTCTCTATTTTGAGGGCACAAGTAGGGCATTATAGTCACTTGTCAGTAACAATGCTAAAATGTATTGAGGTTTTGTTTAAATTAATAATGCTTTATTTATTTTCTTCTATTTGGTTTATATACTATGAAGCCAAAAGTATAAGAAAAACGCAGAAAGGTTCTAGTTCGAAGAGGAAAAGATATGTGGAAACAGCACTTTTGGTCATTAGTCAATAAGGAGGAAGGGAGTTCCCATCTACAAGGTAAGTCAATATTCCAGATTTTAGATTCCATTCTCTACAGAATTGTA